AGGAAAGAGAATAGTATCATAGGATGCCCCAAATTACTAGACCTTTTAAAAATGGCAACCTAATTACTGAATTAATCCTCTTGGATATCACACATTGGGTGAAATAGTGAGTTTCTTAACTGTGGCAGTTATAATAAAAATTTCCTACTTCTGTGACCTAGATTGAGATTTAAAATATTTCTATAGTGTTTAGCTAAATGATAGCTTTTGGAAACTGCTTTTTGGATTTTCTTACACATATACCCCTTCCAGGAAAATGAGATACAAATTCCTGCAAGATTCAGCTCAGATTTTAATTCTAGAATGTCTTCCCAGATTTTTCCTAGCCCCAATTCTGCCTTAGAGTCCCTTCTTCTGGCCTCTCATGAATCTTGCTGTGTTAGGGGTATGTTTTCACTTAAAATACTTTTTGTGCTGTGTACCCCGCACCTAGCATAGTGCCAGCACATACTAACTGCTCACCTAAAAATGTTGAAAATTGCTTTTACACATTCCCTAGTCATTTCAGAAGCATCGTTATTTTCATCTGTTTTGGTGCCTTCAGAAAACTTCTGCACCATGAACAGCGCTATAGAAGAACATCAGCATTTAAGAGCATGTGGTCCCTGTGCTCAGTTAGGAAGCAAGGTACAGGAAACAGCAATGGCGTGAGAAAATATCTTGTTGACTGCTAACAATGTGGTAAGCCCTAAGCACTAAGTATTAATAACGCAGAAAAAGAGATTGCTGTGTTAGAGTTGATGGAGAAGGTTTGGGGGGTGGGGGTGGGGGGGGTTGCCCTTTGGTTGTATTCGAAGGATGCATGGGATTAGATCAAATAGGATTTTATGCTACACTGAATACTGAATCCTTTTGTTGACTTTGCTTTTTTGTGAATGGTTTTCCCTCTTATTTGAATTTCCATTGCCTGATTGCTTATCTCCCCCACTGGATATTACAAGGCCTATTCAGCTCACCATTATGTCTTAAGCACTTAGCATAGTGTCTGGCATATGCTTAATAATCTGGCTGGCTGGTGATTTACTCACTTAACTCCAGGAGCTTTGGTTTCCCCATCTATAAAATCAGTAAATTGAAATATTTGATTTCTAAGAACTTTTCTAGCTCTAAAACACTAAAAATCAGTGAAAAAATTCACAGGAATTCCCAGGTCTGTATATAAATATCAACTTAAGTATTTTCTGATGTGATTTTGTATTTATATTACTTTCAATTTAACATGAAGTATACTAAGTTTAATATGTAAATACTACCATTAAGCAAAAACAGTAATGTTGGCAATGGGAGGGGTATTTTGGAGGAGGGGTTTTTCTGAGTGTGACTTACCTTGGAGGAAAATGAAAAGTCAAAGCTCTGCTAACGATGACATTAAGGGATCTAGATAATGTCAGAAATTATCAGAAATCTAGAAATTAATTAATGTCAGAAATCTAGAAATTAAGATGGAGTTTATATTTAGGGCTGAAAGAGAGAGGGCTGACCTTTCTAGATAAAGAATCGGTGATTAGTTTGGGGGTATAGTTTTAGTAAGAATGCAGACTGGTTTAAGAAATATTGGTTCTGTTTGAGCAAATATTGATATCGTGAATTGTTTATTATCTATTGAACTGTAAAAAATGTATTAGAAAAAAAGCAATTTGAGATTTAAACTGACAGCTCTTTCTCATTTGCATCTTCTCTGTTGGCACAAAAACTGACAGCCAGTCCCTATCCCTGAGAGCCTAAAAAAGGCTTTTTTTATAGCCTTCTGAAAAAAGAGGTATTCATTGTTGTCAAAGCCACAGGGTAGCAGGCCCAGACACTTACCATAACTTCTGGAATTTATTCTTTACAATCAAGTTTTCATTTTGGACTGTTTTGATTGTTAGAATTTTTTTAACCTGTTGTAGCCAGTAATGCAGATTGCTGATGATTCATTACATGTATGGAAGACTGTTAATATTTTGTGAGTAGGGTAGTGATTTATATTTAGATTTAATTTCAAAGAAAAACATTTAAACTTCCTTTTGAGCATGTAAAATTCGTTTTATGTATTACATTTGATATTACTGCTTTAAAGTTGGAGTAACCATGTTTATACTTGCTGTGTGAATACTTACCATGCCATATCTCATTTAATCTCCATAGTCTTAAAATTGTAAATGTTACTTGTTTTATAGATGGGGGTCTGCCTTGAAGAGGTGAAGTAATTTATACCCATCTACCTGTGTCATTCCATAGCACCAGCTATCTCTATTTCTCTGTGATCAATAAAGTTTTTTGGTAGACTGAGTTAAATCTCTGCTGTATTTCTCATAATCTCATTCAACATTACATACTCATTTGGTGATTAATAAACACTTGTTGAATTGAACTAGGATGGTTTAATTTCTTTACGATGTTCTTTAAAAGAATGATACCAGTACGGATGAGTTATCTACTCATTCAAAAGCTTCCCAAGCGATTCTGATGTATGCATCCACTTACCAAATCTTTGGTGAATAAACTGAAAAGACTTTTCAGGTTCAACATATACTTATTATATACTCTAAATCATTAAACGCATACATCAAGCTATGAAATGGGTGGATCTCGTTTTACAGATTCCCAAGTTTAGCCTGCACTTCCTCTCCCTGCCCACTGCTGCTGATTTAAGTTCCCTTTATTATTTTATGTATATTTGTGGTAATATATGTGCGAGTACTGCATAACTGTAAAGGACCATATAAACGTTGTCCTTTATGACATGGCCTTGTTTATTGCTAAGAGCATTTAATGTGGTATAGGCACTAATGGAGGAGAGGTTACATAGACATCTTGCTTTATCTGAAAACCAGTATTTTAGTTGAATAAAGTACGTGTTAGTACTTACACATTGCATTAGAATTTAGTAAGGATTTAATTTAGGCTCATGTTGCTCTGACTTTATATAATAACCATGAAAACAGTAGCAAATTGAAATCAACACTCACTTATAACTTCCTTAATGGAACTGTCCTAGTTGGAATTTCCCACTTCTAGAAATGTTAAGCAGGTAAGAATGATTTCTTTCATAGTACCTGATTAAGAAAAAGTAGGCTTCATCATAAAGATGTGTAAAGAAGACTTAAGCAAACGAGCAGACTGGCAGGTGTGTGTGGGAGAGCATTCCGGCATTGGCAATCCGGTGTGTGAAGAGACCGGATGACCTCCTGGGCCTTCTGGCTCCGGACCTGTGATCAAGAGCTCATAACTAAAGCTGTTTGAATGCCGTAAATAATGGTACCAGACAAGCCCATTTACATGAAAACTGAAAATTCATGGCATTATAAAACATTATTTATACCCACACACAGATAATTTTTTTCCCAAGTGTGTACATAAATCAAGTTATATAGCTTTTATTATGATCTTAGGGCTTATGAATTACTTTCATGGGAGTAAAATATTTAATTGTATAATTTTAAGTAGGGAAAAAATAGTTTGATTTAACGAAGTATACCTTATGATATTTTTAGGACCTCTATTCTTGAAGACACCTGTTGTATGAATTTTAAATGATGCTTATTGTTTTTACTAGGATGCTTATTTTTAAAGTACAGAATAAGCTTCTGCTTTCAGGAATTCAGTGGAGTGCTTCAAATGAGAGCTCATGTATTGCAACATTATTTATCTATTTTTGTAAAGGGCTGTTAATCACTTGGTGCCACCCTGTCTGAGTTGTGTGCTTGTGGATTGTCTACATGAAATAACTTGATATGGCCTCTCAGTTTTGCAAAACTTTTTCCTATATTTTTAGCCCACCGTGCTAGTATGAGGCTAAATTAATTAATAGACATATTTAGAGACCAGAAGCTTTTAATAAAATCTATATTATAGATGTTGACCTACACTTTTTGGAACGGCATGTTTAAAGCAAATGTCAATGTAGTTATAAAATATAATTCAAATCATTTATGCCACCTTTGGCCAACACACAGACTCACTCACTCTCTTCTTTCTAAGCATACAGTCTTTTGTTTAAAAGAAGGATTCATATGCCGAGTTTATTTCCATATTATATTTCTAAATTTGATGTTTTACTGGATACTTGGTTTTTTATGATACTGTCATTTAATGCCTCTTGAATTATTCTGCGGGAGTGTTAGCAAGGGTTGTAAACTGGAGTTCTTATGTGAAATGTAAGACTGTGACCTCTTGATCCAAAAGCCAGGAGTGTTGCCAATTGAACCAAACCCTGCTGTTTCCTAAGAATAGAAATACTCTGCTTGATTATTGGAGTTCGACTCAGTGCTTATGTTGTTTTCCAGTGATTGGTTAGAATCCCAGATACACATATTTGGTTGTGTATGTCTTTTGAGTGGACAGCAAGTATTTCTTTGTAGGGAGAGAAGAGGCAAAATGTGAATAATGTCTTCAAAGAGTTGGGGAAGGAGTTCTAGTGTACCACAAATACCATTATTACCCAAGTCCAGCTTCTGTCCTAAACCCATAGAAGATGTCTTCAAATATGGGAAAAAAATGTCTGTTTTTATGTTAACTATAAGAAATAAGTAATGTATCATCTAAGTCTTTCATTCTTGGAAATTTAAACTCTGGAAACCATGAATATTGAACTAAGGGGGAAAAATCATCTGTGAGCCATGACATATTTATAAAATGTTGGCCATGTTTTTCAACCTATTAGTTTGAACTGTTCAAAATCAAAAGAGCAGGCCTCACAGGTCTTCGTTTTATGAGCAAGATTAATAATACTTTGTAAATTCAGGATCCTTGTTCTCAGATCCAAGTTGCCTTATATGTAGTTCTACTTTTCCTACTCCTTTGCTTATTCATCTCATTCTTTATGCTTTTCAAAATTGGCAGTGTTTTCATGCATGAATATTTTAAAGTCTTTTCAAGACAAACGTGGCTGTGAATCCACGGTCTGTCAGAGAGATACAGAAGAGAAGCCCTTTTACCTGACCCAGGTACTTAAGGTAGGTCACTTAATCAAAATTCAATTAGGTTGAGTTAGTTGAGTCAGTTCTATCAAGGAATTAGTTTGGTTAGTTAAGTCACATTTAAGTAATGTACAAATCAGTGAAGCCACTATCTATAGAGATTAAGATCCATAGCCTGACCTCATATCTCCTTTCAGGCCTCACCTCTGCCTACCACCTCTTCCCCTCACCTTCTCCCCCTGCTCACCATGCATCACCAGTCAGTGTACTGTAGTGACCGTGCATGTTCACGCATTTGTAACTGCACAGCATGTTCCCCCTATTTGGGCTACTTACCCAAGAAGGTCTCTCCAGACTCTCTTCATTTTTATCAGCTCCAGCTCAGATTCCAGCACATATTTTTCTGTGGCTTGCATGGAAAATATTTGAACCTCCCCATCTTAACTTTTGTGGTGTTAACATCACTCATTTTTATTCCTATAGCATTTCTTTAGTTCTAATAGGTATATTTTTCACATTTTAACCTCTGAAATTAGGAACCTCTCACAATTCGTGGCACCTTAGATTTGATTAAATAAGGTAACTTTCTGTTCCAGTACTTAGAAAGAATTGAGGTTCTGTGGTTGCCTTGCTTCTAGAACTTGCACTCTTGGTTGGGCCATATCTTTAATTCCTCTTTCAACAATAGTTGCTGCTCAGATGTTGTTGAATGAAATTGAAATACTTTACTTGGCTTCTATATTCATGAATGTCAAGGGTATGACTTTTAAAATATATCAACAATAATGACTAGCATTTGTTAAATGTTATGTGCCGGTACTGGTTTAAGTCCTTTATGTGTAGTAACTCATTGAACCCTCACAACAACTCTTATTATTTCCATTTGACTGATGAGGAAACTAAGACCCAGTTCATCCAAGATCATATAGCTAATAGGTAGCACAGCCAGGATTCCACCTCTGTCTATCTTGCACCAGAGTGCATGCTCTTAACCACTATTCTATACTAAAATATAATGGAATCTTTATTTAACCAGGCACTATGCTATATATGTGCTTAGCTGAATTTCTCATAATCCCCATCACGGCCCCATGGTGGTTTATAATGTAATATAATAGAAAGAACACTCCCACTAGGCTGTGTCTAGATGTAAATTCTAGTCCCTGTTCTTACACTGACACTATAAAGAGGTAAACAGAGGTGGCCAGTTAACTCAGTTGCTTAGAGCTTGGTGCTGATAGCATCAAGGTTGCCGGTTCGATGGCCCATATGGGCCACTGAACTGCACCCTCCTTAAAAAAAAAAAAATAAATAAAATAAAATAATTTCCTACCATTGAGGAGTGTATATGCTAACGTATATGGGTTAATAAAATGATCTTTCTAGGTGGCTTCTCTCTTTGGAAATTATTAAATTCAATTGCTGAAATAAATCCAGACCCTAAAGGAAATGAACTAACATTGAGCACCTTCTACACATAAGGAAGGTGGGCATCATCACCCCTGTTTACAAATGAGGAAACTAAGGTTGAAAGAGATTAAATAACTTGACCAACTGATTGAAGAAGCAGCACAGGCAGAGTTCAGTTTCAGCATTGGATCTCTGACTTCGAGAATGACTTTTAAACAGGCAGGTCCTCTGTGGTATTCTTTTATTTTTATTTTTAGGGTTTTTAGGAATTCTCCCCCCCCCCCAAACCATCCTTTTATTCCACCAAAGAATTATCTTAAAACTCATTCAACAGCTGTTAACAAAATTTTCATAACCTTATATTTATATTTATTATGAGCCATACGGTTTCTGTCAGCCATACCATCGACTTTAAAAACTGATATATTAAAAAAAGAAATTAGAATGATAGTCATGAAAAGGGAGAAGGAAATGTTTACTATTTAGGTTTTAGAAATTATCTGAGTATATTGTGGAATTTTGGTAAAATAAAGCTTCAGAAAAGTCTTTACAAAGCACCCTTGTGAATTTTCTAAGTCTGTACTATAACTGTGACCTTGATTATTTAGATTAATTAACATAAAGTCTGTATTAGAAACAAGAATTTTGAATGTTTTTAGTCTGTTTTAAAGTCTAGCCCATTTCATAACATGAAAATAATAGAACATGCTTAAACATGCTTGGGAAACCTTGGTGTTTCTTAGTTGACTTACTAGACAGATTGTAGCTTCTAAACTGCAAGTACTGGTAAATATCTGACTTGTCTTTAAATACCTGGTTTCAGGCCTTTGGGGAGCCTAAGAAGACCATTGGTTTGAAAGCTGAGAGAAGTGTACATTTATTGACAGCCTGTATTTCTGCAAAAGGAGAAGGGTTTGGACTCAGTTCATCTGTCTGAAAAATCTTGTGAATAGATAACTG